AATTCTAAAGCAGTCATTAGGAGATGATTTTTCAATTAAATGAAAATGGAAACTAATTCGAACCCTTACAATGCTGCTATATTAAGACAACCTTGAATTATGACTGAAACTAAGAAATTCCCGCTTCAACATTGAGTCAAGAGTAACCAACAAGTAGTGGTTCATGTAACAACCAGTAACAGGTGCAAATCCTTCCATGCATCTTCTAGCATGCATGATTAAAGTTGCTGATCTAAGCAGTATTATTGATTTTGAGCATGTAGTCGAAACAAAACCTGCTTCTTGGGATGAAGACTCCAAGCTGAGGCTGTCCAACAGTATTGTCAGAACCTAATGTGAACAAATCATCATCTAATGCTGGGTAGCCCGATGAGTTGAATTCAAGTAGACTGTGGTTCATGGTACATTTAGGGAGACAACAGATTCTTCCACAATGTCAAGAGGAAAACAGACTACCTAGTGGCTCTGTTTGATCTTCAGTACCTGAACACAAACCCCCAAAGTGTTGTGTTCAACACCAAACAAACCAAGAAACCGTAATGTATGTATTTCAAGCATCAGAAATAAATTCCAGTAAAATTCAATGCATGTCAGACCTCTGATGATTCTACCCTTTGTGCCAACATTAATCCCATAAAGATATGAGTTAGTATTGGTCTTCAGCAACCCATGCTTGTCGTTAGAGCAGTGTTCACGAATGGTGTTTCAAAGTAACAGGACATTGGGTCATGTAAGTTTCAGATGTGTGTCTGACCCATTGAAAATTCAAAGGACCCATAGAATAAAATTAAACACACATTTCAGATTTAACATTTCTTATAATTGGCATTGAAATTATTAGCAAACATAAGATTTATAAACAGGAAACAAGTGTTACATGCCACACATAACAACTTCAGTCAAAGTCATTGTGAAACATACAGTCAGACACTGGGGCCGGCGGGTTGTAGACTTCTATCTGACTGTTGGCGAATCTGCCGGATTTGTCAGAGGGTCAGACGCTATTCATGAACACTGTTAGAGGTGACTAACAGGATTGGGTGTCAGGCTCACTGACTTGGTTGACACATGTCATCATATTCCAATTACGTGGGTTGATGCTCACGATGTTGATCACTGGATTGTCTGGTCCAGACTTCGATTATTGACAGACCGCTGCCATTTTGCTGGAATATTGCTGAGTGGGCGTTAAACGACAATCCAACCAAACCAAGCCAATATTTACTAATGAAATGCCTTTAGACAATAAGTTCCAAGAAAATATGACAAGAATATTATGGTTGACAGGTAGGCAGGAAGGGACACCAATTATGATTAGAAAGACTGTGAAAATAGTAGGATATAAGGAGGCTTGGACGGACTGCTGAATGATGAAATTTCCATTCTGCTCCTCCATCCTCATAGCACCCACAATTTCTTTTCACAAAACAATTAATGAGATATAGTCCAGCCTTGGGTTGTAGCAAAACACTGTCACAATAATTACATGTGGATTGTGCTACGATATTCACAATCTCAAATGCAAACTGTCATTTTAGAAGAGATGGATTCCCAAACTAAAGGGAATTATTAAAGACCAAACAAAATGCTGTCAGGGATTTATCCAGAATTTCAAATTAAGTGCCATTGGCAAGCAAATTGGGGAAAAAACTTTGATACTGTCTGGAATTGGGTTCTTCAAATGTTATTTTCGTAAATTCTGAGGAAATGGAAAAATTTTCGTTCCAATTGAGAATTTTACCTGTCATTTACTGCAGACTTGCAGCCAAATAATTGGCTTCTGGGGATAGATAAAAATCCCTTTTCATGAATGAGAGAGCTTGAAAACAATATTCAGTCGTGGGATAGAAGTAACAATTCAGTTAAGTGCAAACATCCATTTGTGCCTTTGCCCAGGTACGATAAATTTTTCGCTCAACCAAATATTCATTTCAGATAATAATGATAAAAGCATGTGCAAGTGATAGACTTATCACTTCATTCACTGACAAGTCTTAAATACAGGCTGTGACTTTAGTTTAGTCAAATTTCTCTTGGCATTAAAGATGCACTGAAAATGCCAAAATATTGACACAAAAATCTAAAGAAAATGATGACAAAAGGCAAGGTAGCTTTGAAAAGTAGACTCAGAACATTTAAACACACTGTGTTGGAGAATAGACATGGTGGAGAGGATTCCACAGTAAGATGCTTGTCATGTCATGTTTTGGTACACAAGGATCCTTTGACTAATTGTACAGAGATCGTTGACAATCAGACGACACACCATATGACTTGTACCTGGTGAACTTTCTAATCAGCCAATCAGTGTCAAGGCTTCTAAACACTCAGTGTGAATGAGCGGAACATTCAGACCTGCATATCTAATTTCTTTATCTAGTAAATGAACTTAACAACCTTTTCCAGGATTGTACACATTGTCGGTCACTCAAAATATTTATAAAATCCTGTATTTTCTCAACTTCCAGTGTGCGAAATTTACATTGGTCCTGTGGTCCCTTTCTATTAAAAATTCATCAGGACCACTAAATGATAAGTTTGCAGTGGTCCTGGTGGCCAGTGAATTTTGTATTGATAGTTAAGTTAATCTACGATTGTTATTTTGGACCAGTGAAGTACAGACAGGACCACTAATTATTGTCCACTCACTGGTCCTGTGGTCTAGTGGGAAATTTTAAAAGGTTCCTTTCTCTTCACCTACACCGAAATGGTAGCAGTACCATTGAAGGAATATTTGTGTTATGCTAGAATCACAATTTCCAACAGGAAGTTGACATCTGATTGGTGTAAGAGCCATAGCATCCTTCATTTAGACGGAGTAAACCTCATATGGACGCGTTGCCAGATGCAGCAAGGTGTCATGTCAGAGAAAGATCTGATATAAATGAGACAGAGATTTACAGTGGAAGTGTCTCCAGTTTGAAAGCTGTGAATCAATATAGAATCTTTATTATCCCACAGCAACATTTTGGGTAAAAAGGAATTTATATTTCACTTTTCCTCAACAAATGACATGTTTCAGAGTTCCAATGAAGGTGGTAAAAATGTGTCCTCTACAATGAAATTTCACTACTCCTTCCAGAATTTACTCATTTCAGACTAGCAGATTTCTGATTATTACAAACACTTACAATTGAACTATATCCCAGTCTCAACAACAGACAAGCCTTTGGTTTATATGCTGTCCTACATCAATGGCATTCAATGAACCAATGGCCACCTGATCCATTATAGTAACACTTGACCAACATTTGGAACTGGGGACCAGTTCTATCACAGAATCTCCATAAAGTTCCTCAGTCATGTTAGTAGTAACACTGACGACATTTACCGTGATATGAATATGATCGGCATTAACTGTCTGGTTGGGCCTTGTACAAAGAGACGTTTGTGCTACAACTGTTGTGTGTTTGAGAATACGAATACATATTAATGGTTATTTATTGGTCAACTCTCAGCTTACATATTCTAAATAAATGTACACATTTTCACATTGCCGAAGTTCGCTCAAAAGTAAATGCTGATTTTGTCCATTAAGATGTGAACACGGAGATGTTAAAAGCACCTGGGTGTTGTACAAAATAACTCCAAAACTACCAAAGTGTTACGACTGTCGTAAGTCCATGTTAAGGTCCAGGGTGTTGCCCAAAACAACCAAAGCGTTAGAGACTGTCATAAGTCTATGTTAAGATATGAGGGTTATGATCACCACAGCGAAATGTTAATATCAGAAACCAAAATGGCAGGAGTTGTACACTTTGTCCACTTGACCTATGTTACTCTGTCCAGTTTACTAAATAGTTCAAGTGACAGTTGACATGAGCATCTGAACAACCTCATCCTATTAAGTGTCTGTTATAGTGAATGCATGTACACTAGTAAACATATATTATTATTACTATTATAGGATATTTATATAGCGCACTTATCCACGCACTAGTGCATGCTCAAGGCGCGCTGGTATTTTTTCCCTCGATCATTGGATGTCAATCTCAACGGCACATCGCATTATCAATCTCAACTCCCTGGGGAGTATACAACTATATGACAGACATCTATTCTGCTCATACAAGACAAGTGAAAGTGACTTGTCATTTTGACAAAAAATATTGTTGATTTAGACAAACAACTTTTCTAAACTGAGCTGCAGACTAGGATATAACCAATGGTACCTACATTGACGAGTGTGTGAGTGAGTTCAGTCAAAAACTGCTCTTAACAATATTTCAGTTACACCACAGCATGTCAGCTTTGTGCCAGTGAGTGAATGGGTGAGTATGGTTTTAGCAATATTCCAGCAATATCACGGTGGGGGAAACCAGAAATGGGCTTCACACGTACCCATGTGGGAATGGAACCCGGGTCTTCAGCATGATGAGCCAACGCTTTAACCACTAGGCTACCCCACCGCCTCGCTTAATGCCAGAAGTGATGCGGGCTTTACATGTGAAACCAGCTTGCAATGTTCACTATTTGGGTAAAACCCACAAGCAGTGGTTCTGGTGCTGAAAGCAATCATACCCATAGGTTCTTGACACATCTAAGGGACAGAACTCTATGAAACAATCCGAAATTAAAAAATTCAAGAAGAAAAATATTAAAATGTAAAGCACATTCTGAAGTATGAACACGTATGTATTAGAGAATGATCACCCTTTGACACAGAAACTGAACATTAAAGAAGGGGATAAAGATAATATTCCACAGAATATTACAGCAGCTACACTCAAGAACTAGAGCCCTGTTTCGTGAAGCTAAATTACTGCTTAGTCGATTGTAACATGAACTTTTAGCTATTGTAGCACTAAGACCACTTTGTAGAACAGTGCCAATTGAAAGGCAAATGCTAAAATATCATTTTTGATAATGTCCTCATGTCCTTATTCAGACTCATCCTGGAAAAAAGGCATTTTCCTGAAATAAAACAAACAGGAACTAAAAATGTACACCAGTGCATGTAATCAAGCAGTCCAATATATACTGGGAGAATTTTCACGTACCGATATGGCGGTGCGCACGGCCTTGACGCAATCTACCCATGTCTTGTGTTGAGATGTGCGGCTACGGAGCGATTCCATGAGGGTGGTGAGACGCCGGCGCTTGTCTCGTTCCCCTGAAACAAAACCATACATTTACAAACTCATTCAACTTGAGGATCGCTGACTTGATTGACACATATCATCATATCCCATTTGTGTAGATCGATGCTCATACTACTGGACTGACTGGTCCAGACTCGGTTATTTACAGCCTCCATATAGCTGGAATATTGCAGCATTAAACAACAACAACAACAACAAAATTCAACTTCAATACACCATAACACATTTCTCAACATACATCTGTGACAAAACTTTGATTCTAATGAGATAAGATAAGATAAGACATAACTTTATTATCCCAGAGGAATTCTTTTTGTATCAAAAACAGCCTCAAAATGAATATATACAAACTTAACAAAAAATGCACAATGATTACATGCACAAAATGAATGCTGATGATTCCATACAATTAACCACATAGGCAAAGGGGCTGAGTTACTAGTTATCGCAGCATGATGACCATTTTCAAAAACATTTCTTGCATTAAAAACACGAATACTGGATGGTATGAATGACTGTCGAGCTCTGTTTGTTTTAAGCGAAGGTAAACGAAAGCGGCATCCTGATGGAAGTAGTGGAAAATGATGAGATAAAATATGTGAACTATCAACTATCAATCAACTGGAATCTTAGCTGCAGTAGTTTTTGCGGTTTTATATTGACAGTTATTCACTGGTAGATTCAGCAGCTGGGCAAGTGGCAGGGTGGGAGCTTTGGGTAGGGTGATATGGGGCTGGTTTGTCTGTGAACTTCCCTCCGCAAGTGATTAACAGTCAATGTATGAAAATATATTTCGGAAACCTTATATCTTACTGAATCTTAAACCAACTGAAATTGTGGCCTCGGTAATATTTAGGACCGGTACTATTCACTCGACACTCGCATATTTAGTAAACTCCTGTACATTAAATATAAGGTATTTGTGAATATATATTCATATCTACTACCATATATTCGTGATATGTATCATATTCGCCTCATGGCATATTTGTTGCAGCCCTAGTAACATGTGCATCTCTCCACACCTAACTCCACAATCCCCACCAATAACTCACCACCAATAACTCCCTACCCTCCACCAATAACTCACCACCAATAACTCCCTACCCTCCACCAATAACTCACCAACAATAACTCACCACCAATAACTCCCTACCCTCCACCAGTAACTAACCACCAATAACTCCCTACCCTCCACCAATAACTCACCACCAATAACTCCCTACCCTCCACCAATCTCACAACAATAACTCCTACCCTCCACCAATAACTCACCACCAATAACTCCCACCAATAACCACCAATAACTCCCTACCCTCCACCAATAACTCCTACCCTCCACCAATCTCCTACTCACCACCAATAACTCCCTACCTCCACCAATAACTCACCACCAATAACTCCCTACCCTCCACCAATAACTCACCACCAATAACTCCCTACCCTCCACCAATAACTCACCAACAATAACTCCCTACCCTCCACCAATAACTCACCACCAATAACTCCTACCCTCAACCAATAACTCACCCAATAACTCCCTACCCTCCACCAATAACTCACCACAATAACTCCTACCCTCCACCAATAACTCACCACCAATAACTCCCTACCCTCCACCAATAACTCACCACCAATAACTCCCTACCCTCCACCAATAACTCACCACCAATAACTCCCTACCCTCCACCAATAACTCACCAACAATAACTCCCTACCCTCCACCAATAACTCACCACCAATAACTCCCTACCCTCCACCAATAACTCACCACCAATAACTCCCTACCCTCCACCAATAACTCCCTACCCTCCACCCAACTCCCTACCCTCCACCAATAACTCACCACCAATAACCCTAACTCCACCAATAACTCACCACCAATAACTCCCTACCCTCCACTAATAACCCTCAACTCCCCACCCTACCACCAACTCCCCACCCTACCACCAACTCCAAACCCCCAACTAACCACCCCTTTATCTAAAAATTCCTATTATTATAATTGTATTAGCTGAGTCTAACAAAACCAAGCAGAATGTTACTCAATACTTTTGTGCATATTCTTGTTATATGCCACAGTCAGCAACATTCCAGTAACATTCCAGCTGTACCACAACAGCCAAGGTCAGACAAACCACTTAAAGCTATTACGAGGGACATCCCACGCGACTGGTGTACAACGATCAGAATCAATCAAGTTATAGAGTCTAGGCAGCTAATCCAACACAGTCACTTCCAATGACAAGCAATAAACGCACATATCCTAACCGAACTCCCACATCATATCTCTGGTAGAGGTGAGACAAAATGGAGTTACATCACTTTCCAGATTACCACTCTTATATAGTTGTGTGAGGCGGGGCAGTAGGGTAGCCGAATGGTTAAAGCATCTGCTGAAGACCTGGGTTCGATTCCCCACATGGGTACAATGGGTGAAGCCCCTTTCTGGTGTACCCCACCGTGATATTGCTGGAATATTGCTAAAACTAGTAAAAGTGGCGTAAAACCATACTCATTTCCTACCTTGTGTGAGGCTGCACAAATTCTTCTGACCAATGCCCATTTTATAAGACTAGTCACAGTAATACCACAGTTTTAAACATAGATACTGTACACCACGCAATCTACAGACTACATACAGGCAGGCCACTCCTCTTATTCCTTTCATGTCAAGTGCCAACCCGGATACAAAGTGCCTTTCCTTAACATCTTTTGACATGCTGTGGACAAATACTGTATCCAAAATAATCACACAGCAACAGCGCCATCAAAATTTACAGGAAAAGTTCACCATCGGAATAACCTTTTCTAAAACATAAACAAATTGTAAATTCCATTGCTAGAGCAGGTCATGCTGACCTCGTGTGTACTGAATCTCATGATTTACTTGAGTGAGCATATATAGAAGTAAAATTTGGGTCTTATTCGTCACAATTGTGTTTTATCACAAAGGGTATCACAACACGCCTAAACATGATACCATGCAATTAACCTTTGCACCAGGATATGAAACTTTTATGCCATATTCAATACAACATGTACAAAGGAATTCCCTGCACAGACTGTATTTCTGCCCAATGCTCTCCACACATGCTTACAGCCCACAGTTAAGATGTACAGAGCAATTCACATTTTGTTTTAGAGGGGGCTGCAAAAAAAAAATCGATATTCTTTTTCTGTATCATCCTATCAAATTTACCAGTAAGTTGGAGGAAACAAGGAGTTTAGCTTTACACCGCTTTTAGCAGTATTCCAGCAATATCATGGGCGGGGATACCAGAAATGGGCTTCACACATTGTAGCAATGTGGGGAATCAAACCCGGGTCTTCGGCGGGACAAGACACAAAATTTGTTGCCATTCCTGTACTTGCTAAAACATAATTTTCAGAGATGGACTTTGTCATCTTGTTCTCAAGTTCTTTTAATGAATGCCTATTCATATTATAATGATTATATATAACCATAAATTGTTTTGATTCGAATTGATACATACTCAATAATGTTGTCTGAAATCACAAATTCTCCAAGCAGCAGACATGTTTGATAAATACTATCAAATATTTACCATTCCTGTCACATTATACCAAAATGACAATCAAAACACAGAGAATCTGAAATCTTGCTTTCCCGGCCCTGTGGGCCAATTTCTGAATAATTAAACTTCAGCTGACTAATCTTGTTTACATTTAAACCACGCCAACATTTTGAAAGAAAATACAAAAAAGCAACTGAGCAAAAAGGATGATAGGTCAATATTTTCAATAGACAACTGTCTAGACAAGGTCTGCACGGAATAACAACAGATATCTTCAACAGCTGCTTTCAATATAAATGCTATTGTTATACATGATAAAAAATCTAGTTCTAAATTTCAGATCTACCAGCATGAGACATACTGCGTTCTAAAATCCAGAATAGAAATCAAATGGCTGTCAAATAAACTGAGAACCTTAGAACACAAAGATTCCTTGGGTCCCAATATTTCCATACAGCAGAAAATTCCATCTCAATTCTGTAGGAGAGTGAGTGAGTGAGTGAGAGTTGGGTTTTACACGCCGCTTTTAGCAATATTCCAGCAATATCACGGCGGGGACACCAGAAATGGGTTTCACAGTATTGTACCCATGTAGGGAATCGAACCCAGGCCTTCGGCGTCTGTTGGGGAGGTACAGGCTGTGCCAAAACTATCTTCATTAGTCTCACAGTCCCGAACCACATTATTTTCCCTTCTGCCTAGTCCTCTCTGAAATGCTAAAACCCTAAATGAAGCAAGTCTAGATTTCCCCAGGTTCTGAATCTCGCATCTCACTGGGTCTCCTTTTCAAATTAGAGGAATTGCGTGTTTCTATCAAAATGATATATATTCAGAGACTAAGCGTTAGTCCAGACAAATATTGACTCCTTACATCATTTTCAGTAGAATTTCTTTGTATCGCATGGCATTTATCAGGTGATCTTATAGACAGACTGACTGACTGAGTTTGGTTTTACTCCGCTTTTAGCAATATTCAAGCAACATCACGGCGGGGAACACCAAAAATGGGCTTCACATATGTACCCTTGTGGGGATTCGAACCCGGGTCTTTGGCGTGACGAGCCAACACTTTAACCACTAGGCTACCCCACCGCCCCTCTTATAGACAGGGTACAGTGTGGTAGCCAAATACATTCGCTTGTCATGCTGAAGCCCTGGATTTGATTCAGCATGGGTACAAAGTGTGCGTCCCTTGCCATTAGACGACTGGAAAAATATATTAAAAGCAGCGTAAAACCATACTTACTCATACAGACTGAATAGAATTTTAACTAGACTAACTCTTTGTACCGGTGGTGGGTTGTGGGGTAGTCTAGTGGTTAGAGGGTTCGCTTGTGACGCCAAAGACCTGGGTTCGATCCCCACATAAGTACAATGTGTAAAGCCCATTTCTGGTGTCCCCCGCCATGATAATGCTGAAATATTGCTAAAGGAGGCCAAAAACTATGCTGACTCACTCACTATGTACTGGT